ATCACAGCTGTTGGATTATGCTGGAGTTCATATCACAGCTTATCAAAGAGGCTGCATTTTCTCCCTCCCCTCCTTTTCTCCTGAGTATGAGTGGAACAGTTCATTGGGAAACAAGCCCGGTGCTTGTTCTGCCTGCACTGGCATGGAGGGTGGGAAGAGGCTGGAGGAGGGAAATGTACACGAACACCTACTTTGGGCAGAGTTGTTTTAACGGGGCCAGGGCTGGGCCACTGGTGGGTGCCCTGGTGCTAGGGCAGCAGGCCTGGTGTGCCAGAGCCAGCTCTCAGCACAGGAGGTTCAATTATTTCCCCCCTCGAGTCTGGTCTCCCCTCCCCACAGACCACTGTGGGAGGCTGAGGATGTATCATGAGGGGAATAACAGCTCCCCTTTATCAAGTTGTGCTGAGGGCTGTAATGTGCATGGTCTTATGTAACCCTCTGCAAAATGAAAAGGCAGGCGCTATTATCTTCATCTCACAGTCAAAGCAAAACGGGCTTGGAAAACAGCTAAAAACTGGAGGAACTGGGATTTGAACCCAAGTCTGTTTGACTCCACAAGCTCCGCTGTTAATCTGGCTCCCGAGTGCCTCTGGGAGGCCCATCTACCCCGCTCCTGTGAAGTCCTGCACAGGAGGTGTGGGAAGGGCTGAGGGTGCCCAGCACTAGCCCCCTTGCAGTACTCCCTTGCCCCACTTCTCCAGTACCCCCGTCCCCGTCTTCCCTTCAATTGTGGGCTGGGCCAACCCTGGCAGCCAAGTGAAGGGCCTGGGCCCCAAGAAGGTCACAGTGAGTCTGGCTGAGATGAGGTTTTGGAGCCACTGGCTTCCCTAAACTCAACATGCATCTAAACTGTAATGTCTACCAGATAACAAGGCCATCTGCACACAGAGAGGATGTCCGACCAGCTCAGGGCCCTGGTTGGAGTTCGGGGGCTCCATTCCCACCCCCCACGGAGGTGCAGCCTGGGAAAGCCGTGTGCAGGAGAGGAAACGCTCCTGGGTCCTGAGGGAAATCATGCATCCTTCTCAACGCCAAGACCCCCCACCAGATGTTCATCTTCAAGAACTCCGGATGCCTTTGTCCTTCTAGAAACGGCAGCTGCTCCTGGACCCTGAGCTAAACATACTACTGCAGAAATAATGGCTTTTAACTTATTTGCCAGAAGAATCTCTTTCCTGTCTTTCTCAATGTTCAATCTTGCGGGTTGAGAGAAGCAACTTATAGTTTGCATAACACCCGAAGGAGAGGGTTAAGAAATCATTTATTGTGTTTCTTATTAGGCCTGTGGCTTCATCTCAGCAGTCTGCATGTACCATTACTATGCTCCTCTTTAAAGACATCAGCAGAAAATAAGGAAATGACATGAAAAGCAGGCAGGCAGGCTGACACTCCTGAGGGCTGGTCCCCAGTAAACCTCTGCTGAAGGGCCTGTCTGACCATGACAAGGAGGAGGAAGCATGTGTCTTCAAGGTCTCCTCTATGTCCGATGCGGTGCTGTGTGCCCTGAGAGCCCAGACTGGGTGGCCTGGCATGCTGGCTTAGCAGGCAGCAGGTCCACAGAGCTGGTGTGGCCCAGAGGAAGAGGAAGCTGGGCCAGGTGGCTGTCAGCTATAACATGTAATAACAGGTGCTGGGGAGGCTTTTAGGGGGTGGGGGGTGGCTGGCTGGACAAACGAAGCAAAGGACTGGGAGGGACAACACGTGTGAGGGGGCCCAGTCACAAGGTTCCTTTTGTTGCAGCCCACTGGGTTCTTTCTGCTAGTGCCAAGGGCTAGGAGACCCCTGTGGCAATGTGGGATGGGAGTAAGGCATGGCCTAGAGGGTGGTCCAGGAGGGGTGTGACCCCCGGAACAGCGAGTGATTGTCATGCTTGATACACTGAGCCCCAGAAGGATGAGGAGGGAGGACCCTCTGAGAAGCTGGGCCCCAGGTGGTCCTGGCCTGCAGGTTGTACAGGGCCCCTCAAGGTCCCTGGCTCTGCACTCTCTCACAGAAGGGATAAAGCGGTGACTATGGAATTAACAGAGTGCAGGAGTCCGCAGCCCAGCTTCATGGAGCCGGGCGAGCATGTGGCTTCCTCTCATTTCCCTTCTGCAAAATGAGGATTCCCATCAGCCCAGGATGCCCGGAAGACACGGGAAAGCATGCAAGACCTCACTGCCCTCGAGGCTGTAAACAGTGGTGGCCGGGCCACCAGCTCCATGGAGCCTGGAGGAGGGTGAGGACCGAGGGCGTGGGGAGAAGGCCCACGCGGCCCACACTTCTGTTTGGTGCCACCTGGGGATGCTGCTTCCTCCCCTGAGCAACCTCTCCCCAAGCCCCTGAGGGGGCATGTGAGGCTGCCAGAGGATGGAAAACCCATTATAGCCCAGTTCTCCAGAGAGGAAACGAGCTACCAATTCCTCGTTCAAAGGCCTCTCTCTCCACTGGTTCCCCGGGCGTCTTCCGGGCAAGGACTCATCAAGAGAGCTGATACCTCTGCAATTTGGAAAAGCACACTACGTTAACTGTCACTCATGTGGGAGTAGCCCATCATTTTCCTGGTTGGGGGGGTCTCTAGCACTACATCTAATCTCTACTTTGATCCCTGACCGACTGTCCAACTTGATGTGAAGAAAAACCACAGAAATCTTTCTCTTTTGGCCAATAAGGCTACGAATCCATTTCTGTCCCTCTGTAACAGTGGTTCTCAGGTGATTTTGCTTCCCAGGGGACACCTGGAAATGTCTGGAGACTCTTTTTGTCCCAACTGGGTGGGTGGCGGTACTACTGGCATCTAGTGGGTTGGGGCCAGGGATGCTGCTCAATATCCTACAGTGTGTAAGACAGCCCCCACCACAAAGAATTATCCATCCCCAAATACCACCAGTGCTGAGGCTGAGAAACTCTGCTCCATAAGAGCTCAGAAAAGTAAGAGGACAGTGACATGCTGCTACCACCACAGAAACACCTCTTGGTGGTCTAGACCGTCAGTAGCCCCTTCCTCCCAACAGGTAGGGACTTTGTGGTCCTGCTATTTGTCCTTCTGGCCAGCCAAGTCTGTCCTCTCCTGTGACTCTGTCCTTCAGCCTGGCCCCATTCCCCAGGGTGCCCTTGAGCTAGGCCCTTTGGCTCCCCTCCCCCTGAAAGGCAGGCAGCCCTGGATGAAGCGGTCTGGGCTTGCTCCCTCCACTGCCTTGTCTCGCACTCCTTCAGCTCACTCCTACCACACCCCCTAGGAGACCCTCTTGGGGCCTCGTCTCTCTCATGGCCTCCTGCCATCCCCCCACTTTCCTCTGCTTCTTCTGACCTCTTGGGCCATTCTTCTCGGCCTCCTCTCCTGGCTTCTCCTTCTTTCCCCAACCATGACACACTGGAGCTCCTAATGGCTCAGCCTCAGGCCCTTTCCCTTCCCTCTCAGTCCCTCTTACACTGACTGTTCTCACTCTTTAAGAATGAAAGCTCCAAAAGGCCAGAACCATCTAGAATGGCCCCTCGCAGAGTCAGTATTCAGTAAATATCTGCTGAATGAGTGAACAAGTGAATGACTACCCCATCAATGTCCAGTCTTGTATTTCAGGCCCAGGTTCCTCTTTTGAGAGACAGGTACAGCAAACTGCTTCTTCAACATGTCTCCTTTGATGTCCCCAAAGCAATTTAAACTCAAACATGGGACCCTCCTCCCTCTCTGCTCCTCTTCCAGGGCTCCCATCTCAGGGACTGCCACCACCAGCCACCTTGCCGCTCACACAAGAGTGCCGCGTGTCACTCCCAACTCCTTCTCTCCTCACTCCCTCATGCAATCAATCACCAATCAATTATACTTCCTACTAATTCTTGAATCCCACTGCTTCTGCCTATCCTCCTACCAAGCTGCCACCATCTCTCACTTGGACCACAGCCAGCCAACTGGTCTCCCACACATCCATCCATCTTGCCTCCCTCCACCCATTCTCCCCAGCAGCACAGTAATCTTTCATTCCCCTGCCCAAACCCTTTCAGTGGCTTCCCGCTGACCTCTGAGTAAGGTCCCCAATCCTTAGTGTGGCCCACAAGGCTGAGCCCCTCTCTCCCTTGCCTTCTGGTTTGTAGCTAAATGAACCCTCCATGCTTTTTCTTGCCTTGAAGCCTCTGTGCAGGCTGGACCCTCTGCTGGGAATCCTCCTTCAATTCCTGGACCTCCCGATGACCTCAGGAGCCTCCCTGATTCTTGGGGACCACATTAGTCTAGTCTGTTCCCCAAGCACCCTGGACAGCTTCAGTAACCCCCATCACCCCAGACTTCTGATATCACAGGTCAAGGAGGAGAGTCTAGATACCGTCTTCCTTTTTAATCCTCCTCGGTGATCTAACACGCAGTCAGGGCTGAGAACCACTGCTGTAGAGCATCTAGAGCCACATGACTATTCTGGAAAACTCCTCTGCCTGGCTTGGTTGGGAAGCCTGGAGAAATGTGTGCCCCATCTAGATTTTGGTGGCCTGAACGTCACTCTTCTGGTGACCATGCTCCTTGGAGCTGCGTAGGAGGCAAAGGGCCAGACCCGGCCATGCTGCTGGTGATGACAGTTCTAGAGGCCTTGAGCCACTGGGGCTGTGCAGGACTAGGCTCACATGACTCAAGAGCCTGGCTCTGCCAGAGCCACTGCTGCCACCAACTGAGGCCAAAAATCCCAGCAGGTGGGTAGCCGAGTACAGGCCCATTTCACGTTCTATCTGGCTTACCTACTTTCCTCCCCAGAGACTCTGATAAAGATGTTTAATGAGAGGATATTTAACCTCAAGGGAAAACAGTGTCTCAACAAGTGAAAAACTATTCACTTGTTTGAAAAACGGCGACACTGACACACCTCACATCAGTAGCACCAGCAACCTGGCATGAAGGAGGAACCTTCTTCAAGAACAAATGCAAAGGTCAGGAAGAGGAGGAGGGAGGGGGAAAGAGAAAATGGTTGCTTCAACACCTTGCATGGCGTGAGGATGAAAACCCGGGCTGTGAGAGGAGAAGGGATGCTGAGGCTGACCTGATGATGAAAGCGCCTCTGACCTCCAGGAGCTTCCGTTCACTGCTGAACCTCTTGAGAAGGTTGATCATGAACTTATAAAAGTAGGAGTTCATGGTGGGAGTGGAAGGAGAACATTCTAAGCCTTTGGTACCTGTAGAGAAAGGAACAGAGCCGGGATTTATTCTGACCATGTGTCCACAGGGTGATGGGATCCCCACAGAATATGAACAATTGTAAATGCCAAAAGGTGGTGGTGGTGGGGTCTGTGTGTAACAAGATGAGGGACAATCTTCAATCAAGGGTCACAAGTCAACAGCAAAAAAGCAGGGACTATACAAGTACGGGTATTTTCGATCCATGGCTGATAGAACTCGTGGATGGCGGAACTTGCAGATACAGAGGGCCGTTTGTATGTACAAGTAAATATAACTTTACTTAGTAGAAAAATACCCATTTACCTGTCCACCCCTCCAGCCAACCAACAATCACTTAGTGAACACCTCCTATGTGTAAGACCCTCTGCTAGGTGCTATGAAATTTAAAAAAGAGCAAAACTTTTACTTATTATCCCAATCAATAAAATACACTTGAGCTTTATTTTGGCCAGTTAAGGACAAACAACAAGTCAAAGAGAAAAAAGGGTAAGACAGGCACACAAGCTCAATGGTCAACAAAACCGACAAATCCACCAGGCAGAAGCCACATTCCTTTCCCAGCCTGACTTCAGAAAAAGTAAATTATGCACACACCCACTAGATTAAAGACAGCACACGCTGACAAAATGTTACCAAGTGTTTTAATCTTTACCCAATGTTTTGAAATCAGACATTCTTCCTCCTCTTTGGGTGAAGATGCTCTTTTAGAGCAGTTCTCTTGAAGACGTTTGGAGCCCCCAGTTGGCTTTAGAACCAGCACATTCGAGGTCTCCCTCTGAGATGTGTCCCAGCTGGAACTACACTGAGGGCTAGGTGCAGCCCTCCTTCCAACCCCACCCTGGCACCCAGTTCCCTCCATAAGGCATCCAGCACGGAGGGGACCGGGGCAGGGTTGGCAGAATATTTGGGTGATCTTGATGTAGTGTATTCATACATCCCTTGGGTCTCCCCACTCTTTCCTTTCTAATGCATGCTGACTTCAACAGCACTGCTGGAGAGGGGTTAGTGATGGTAGGAATCCCCACTCCATCTGCCCTAGGTATTAACAGGGTTTTTTTTTTTTTTTTTGTAACAGCTTGAGATATAATTCACATACCATAAAGTTCACCCTTTTAAAGTGTGCAATTCAGTGATTTTCAATATATTCACTAAGTTGTGCATAAATCACCACTAATTCCAGAACATTTTTATTACCCAAAAAGAAACTGCATACCCATTAGCTGTCACTCCCTATTCTCCCCTCCACCGCCCCAGGCAACCATTAATCTACTTTCTGTCTCTATGGATTTGCCTATTTGGGACACTTTGTATAAATGGAATCATATAGTATATGGCTTCCTTCACTTTGCATAATATTTTCAAGGCTTATCCATGTTGTAGTAAGTTCTGTATTCATCTTTATGGTTGAATAATATTCCATTGTATGGATACCATCTTTCATCCATTTGTCAGTTGGTGTACATTTGGTTGTTTCCATTTTTTTGGCTAAGAATAATGCTGCTATGAACATTCATGAATGTATGAACATGTTTTCATTTGTCTTGGTTATATACTCAGGAGGGGAATTTCTGGATCATATGGTAACTCTTACGTTTAACTTTTGAGGAACTACCAGACTCTTTTCCTCAGTGGTTGCACATTTTACATTCTTACCAGCAAAGTATGGGGGTTCAAGGTTCTTTGCATCCTCATAATACTTGTTAGTTATCTGTCTTTTTGATCACAGCCATCCTAGTGGATGGGAAGTGGTATCTCATTGTGGGTTTGATTTGTATTTCTCTTATGACTAACGATGTTGAGCATCTTTTCATGTGCTTATTGGCTATTTGTATATCCTCTTTGGAGAAATGTCTATTCAAATCCTTTGCCCATTTTAAAATTGCGTTATCTGTCTTTTCATTGAGTTGTAAGAGTACTTTACACACAGGATACAAGTCTCTTGTCAGATACATGATTTGCAAATACTTTCTCCCATTCTGTGGGTTGTCTTTTCACTTTTTTTTTTTAAAGATTAAAAAACATTTTTTTCCCTTTTTCTCTCAAAGCCTCCTGGTACACAGTTGCATATTTTTAGTTGTGGGTCCTTCTAGTTGTGGCATGTGGGATGCTACCTCAGCATGGCCAGATGAGTGGTACCCTGTCCGTGCCCAGGATTTGAACTGGTGAAACCCTGGGCCATCGAAGCAGAGTGCATGAACTTAACCACTTGGCCACAGGGCCAGCCCCCATCTTTTCACTTTCTTGATGGTGTCCATTGAAGCACAACATTTTTAATTTTGATAAAATCCAATTTATCTATTTTGTTGTTGTTGTTTGTGCTTCTGGTATCATATCTAAGAAACTACTACTTAATCCAAGGTGGTAAAGATTTACTGATACGCTTTCTTCTACGAGGTTTCTTTAGTTCTTACATTTAGCTTTCTGATCCATTTTAATTTTTGTATCGATGTGAGGAAAGAGTCCAAATTCTTCTGCATGTGGACAGATAGCCAATTAGCCCAATATAACATATCTTTTTTTTTTTTACTTTACAGATGCTTTATTTATTTTCTATTGTATTTTTTCCAGCTTTATTGAGATATAACTGACATATAACATTGTACAAGTTGAAGGTGTACGTGTTGATTTGATATACTTATATATTGTGAAATAACTACCGTGGCATTAACTAACACCTCCACTCCCTCACATAACTACCATTTCTTTTATGTGGTGAGAACATTTAAGATCTACTCTTACCAACTTTTAAGTATATACTACAGTATTAACTATAATCACCATGCTGTACATGAGATCCCCAGAACTTACTCATCTTCTAATTGGAAGTTGTACCCCTTGACCAACATCTCCCCAGTGTGATATCTTAAGAGTCAACAGTTACCATTTATTGGTATGCATGTCTAATCCCTTCACACACAGTATCTAACCTTCAAAATTCCCTTGAAAATATGTGCTATTACTATTCTCATTATACACATGGAGAAGCTGCGAGTTAGGTTGAGGATTACCCAAAGTCACAGAGCTGGTGAGTGGTGGGGTCCCTGACTCCAGGCAGCTGGTTTTCAGAGCCCACGTTCTCAGCACCTCCGCCATGCTGCCCATCTCTTGGGCACTGGGGTTTGGGCAGGTTTGGCGTTTGCAGGCTGGGAGGTGGCACCTTCCTAAGCAGGAGGGCAGAAGATGGCATAAAGACCAAAGCCAAGGTCTTGGCAAGACTGAGGACCCAGAGACAGGGACACTGTCAAGAGCTGTGGAGAAAGCACCTGGTTGCAGCTCTCTGGGAACTTGGGGAGGACACTGGGGGAAACAGAGTGGCCGACAGAGGAATCTAGGGTGATCACTTTTAGGGCTGGCCCCACTTGGGCCCTGGAGCCTGTGAGAGTCATGATTTCCTCCCCAGACCAGGGAGAGAATGGCCACTCACCTGCATGAAACAGGCACAGTGTGAGGGGTTCTGGGAATCAAGCTTGGCTGTGTGAGGGTACATGAGCTCCTGGAAACATCAGCCCAAAGCACAAAATAAGAACGTGCAGAACCATCCAGAGTACTCCAAGTAAGCCTTACAGAGGAGCTCCTCTGGGCTGCCGTCATTAGACGCCAGTGGCCAGGAAGCAGTAAAACTCTACCCCCAGTTGTTCTTTTTCCTGAACTCAGACTTCCCTTATGTCCTCGCATGGTCCTTATGGAGAAGTGCCTGGGAACTGGAAAAGGTGTGTTTCTGTTTTGCTCTTCCCAGTCGTGAATTATTCTATGCGGATTCCTACCAGGAGCCACACATTCAAACTACCACCCTCTCCTGAGAACCTCCTAGCAGTTCCTGCGAACCACGCAAGGGGTGAGCCTTGAGGGAGAAGCCCAGTTCAAGGGCCGGCCTCACTGAACTTCTTGTTTGCAGTGTGTTGTTCTGGGTTCCTGCCTGGAACAGGCTGGCCCGGGAGGTGGTGAGTGACTCTGGAATGGCAAACAGTGTCTGCTCCCTGGCCCAGGGGGCTGTTTGCAGAACCAAGTGTCACATTCTTACAGATCGAGTTACCCCAGGCCCAGCTGGGGCTGATCTCTGAAGAGGTGGCTGCGGATACAGCTGTTGAGGAGGCCAGCTGCCTCTCAGCCCCTCCTCCGCGTCCCCACACTGAGAATATGAATTTGGCTGTTCCCATGGACGCCGGCTGGAGGTGCGCATGGACTGGAACGCAGCTCACTTCAGTCTTCTCCTGGGTGCTTGTCTGTGATGGTTCCTTGTGTTCCTGTCCCCTTCTTGCCTCTGTATGTGCACCCCTGTCCCGCACCTCTGTCCTGATCCATTTCCAGGCCTAGGGTCGAGTAGGCTCCAAAGTATTCCAAAGGACAAAGGGACCAACACAGGGACTGACCATAAAGAAATCCTCCTGAACCGGGGTCAGAGTCTCCATCCCCAGGGGCTGGGTGTTTTGGGCAGGGATAGTCTGGAACGTCTCTCAGTGGGAGACTTCAGATCTGGGACGATTTCACAATGCTCTGTTGGGAGGCAGGGAGGCTGAGGAGGAGGGGGGGTCACCTGTGATCCCCCATACCCCCACATTTGGGGAGGGAGATAGATCTACCCACCTCTCAGCTGACAGATTGGCTAAAGATGGCAGAAGAGAAAGTCTGGGGCTGCTCTGGACACATCCCCAGGCTCCTTAGCTACAGCCCACTCTGGGCCACACAGTCAACTCTCAATGTCCAGGCCTGAATGGTGGCCCCTGGAGCTGAGACTCTCGGTAGGAGGGAGAAGGAGGGCAGAGTCATATCTGGGAGAAGCCATGGCAAGTGACTCACGTTCTCACAGTGCAAGGGTTGCTGGAAAAGCTTCCACAGCTCAGTCCTCCCAGCGCTCCAATATTTAGACTACAATGAGCAGGCGGCTGGGTGCAGCGTTCCTGAGGCTCAGGCTGATGGGCGCTTGGGGGAGCGGCCTGGGGCCTGGCCTGCTCCAGGCCTGCAGCTGTCAGGCAGGGCCTTCCGCTCTTCAGGCTCC